TTAGCTTCAAATGAAATATTTAATTTATCAATTAAATTAACTCTGATTTCAATTATATTATTTTTAATATTTTTAATTTTAGCTTTAAATATAGAATTAAAAATAAAGTTTGAGAATAATTTATTAATTTTTGATACAAATGTTGACCCCCGAAATATTCTGATCAACCCTGATCAAATCTTTTCCCAACAATTTGCCCATAATTTAAAGGAAAATAAATAATTCCATAAGTTCTAATATATGGTATAAATCATATAGAACCCATAAAATTTGTTATATTATAAAAAGTTATTGATTTATTAATTGAATATAAATTTCTTACTGAAATTAAATAACCAAATACACCTCCAAAAATACACACAAATAAAGTTAATATTTTTAAAAAAAAGGTAAACAAATTATATAAGGTACAGGAAAAATTAATCAATTTAATATTCTACCCCCAATAATTCTTATAATTAATAAGCCTAATATCCCTCGTAATATCACTCAACCTTCATCATTTAATACATTCAAACTTCTACAATTTAAATCTCCTGTTATTGAGTAATAAACTAACCGAAATGAATAACATACAGTTAAACCCGTAGAAAAAAAATATAAAAAGAAAGAAAATAAATTAATATTTCTAATTATTACAATTTCTAAAATTATATCCTTTGAGTAAAATCCTGCTAAAAAAGGCATCCCACATAAAGCTAAATTTGAAACATTAAAACAAGCTGAAGTTAAAGGCATATGAATTCTTAAACCACCTATTAAACGAATATCTTGAGAATTATTTATATTATGAATAATAGCCCCTGCACATATAAACAATAAAGCCTTAAATAAAGCATGAGTTAATAAATGAAATATAGCTAATTTATAAAATCCTATAGATAAAATTCTTATTATTAACCCTAATTGACTTAAAGTTGACAATGCAATAATTTTTTTTAAATCAAATTCAAAATTAGCACCTAATCCAGCTATAAATATTGTTAAACCTGATAATAAAAGTAAAAATTGACCTATTCATGAATTTCTTAATAAAATATTAAATCGAATTAACAGATACACCCCTGCAGTCACCAAAGTAGAAGAATGAACTAGAGCAGAAACAGGAGTTGGAGCTGCTATAGCAGCAGGTAATCATGAAGAAAAAGGAATTTGTGCACTTTTAGTTATAGCAGCTAATATAACTAAAGAACCAATTAATTTTATTTCAAAATCATTTTGCATAACTTCTAAATAAAATACATAATTTCATCTTCCATAATTTAATATTCATGCAATAGCTAATAATAAAGCAACATCTCCAATTCGATTTGATAACGCTGTTAATATTCCTGCGTTATAAGATTTAATATTCTGAAAATAAATAACTAAACAATATGAAACTAATCCTAATCCATCCCATCCTAATAAAATTCTTACTAAATTTGGTCTGATAATTAATAATATTATTGATAAAACAAATATTAAAACTAATATAATAAATCGATTAATATTAACATCACCTCTTATATATTCTTTTCTATAATAAATTACTAACGAGGAAATTACTAAAACAAAAGATATAAATAATAGACTTATTCAATCAAATAAAAAAGTTATAACAATTGATATAGAATTTAAAGAAACTACTTCTCATTCAATAAAATATACTAAATTATTTAATATAAAATAAAGTCTTCTAAAAAAACATGTTATTCTAATAGAAATTAAATTTAAAAATCTAATTCTACAAATAGATAAATATTTCACGATCTAAAATGAATAACTCATATCACTAACACCACAAATAAGTATTTCTTTTTAACTATTTAAATATAACCATTGTCTGGCTACGCAGCCAAAACAGCTGGAGCGACCTCGCCACTGATAAGAGCAGCATCGTCTTCTTATCTTGTAATACTTGTTCTGCGAAGCAACTGCTTAAATTTCGCTCTTAAGATTACATTAAGCTGGCGCTCTTCGCTGTAACGATCATTTATTGCCCCAACATTACCTTTTGCGAAAGCCTCGATGCTGTGCGTCGAGTTCTAGTTAAGTTCGTTCGCTTCGTGCATTTGGTACGCATCGGCCACTTGCATTATAAAAACATATTAATTTGTCGCAATTATCGCTTCGCTAAAATCGGCACGAACCAATTCGGGTTCGCTTGCCATTGTAAAACTATTGTTCTTAAATAATAAGCACAGACCAATTCGGGTCTGCCTGCTTATCGTAACTTATAATAAATATATAAA